GAATATAAGAACTCCAGAGATAGGCGATATTCTTACAACCCACAGAAGAATCCAAAATGTTTTTTCTATGAATTTGATTCTGTTTTGAGAAAATTATTACTAATTGTTCCCACAACGTCACTGCAAGCCCTTTGCCAACATTTATTATCCTTCCATAAGGAGGAAATTTCCTTATTTGTTAAAGGTAAAATAATTTCTGCTGGGTCCTCTCCAGTCAGTTGATGAAGTCTTAACTTACATTTTAATATCAAATCAGAGATCTTGTCTATATGTCTTCACTTTTTTGTTCTGTTTGTGTGGCAAAAATACCCATTCTAGTATTATGCCTTCCCTCTGCATTAAAATCCCTGAGGGGTATTCTCTAGATGATAAAATAACCAGAATGCAGTACAGTTTTGGATCCACATGTTCTACATGTGCCTCTAATATTCTGTTCTCTATCCATTCTTAATCTTTTTCAGCTTCACATGATAATATTCATGGACTATTTAAGTCCTTGTTTCCTTTTAGGGCCATTTTCAAGTGTTTTAAGTCATGCCCTTTTACTTCAATAATTGTCTGTAGTTCAGAAATTTTTCCTAGTAGTTTTTGAAGATCATTAAGAGTATGATAATGATCTCTCCTAATCTGTACTTATTGTGGTCTAATTTTATGTAGGACTATTTTATAGCCCCAATAATTAATAGAATCACCTCTTTGTATTTTTCTGGGGCAATCTGTAATCCCCAGTGAGGTAAAATTTCTTTTACTGCCTCAAATATCTTTTCCAACATAACTTCTTTCAAATCAGTCAACAATATATCATCCATACAATAATATATTATGTGTTATGAAAATTGTTTATGAATTATTTCCAAGGGTTTTTGCACAAAATACTGGCATAAAGTCAGACTATTTAACATTCCCTGTGGCCGAACCTTCCATTGACATCTTTGTACTTGTTTAGAATTATTATAGGTAGGCACTGTGAAGGAGAATTTTTCCCTACCTTTTTCTTGTAAAGATATAGTGAAGAAGCAATCTTTTAGATCTATAACTATAATTGGCCATCATTTAGGAATCAGAGAAGGTAATGGCATCCCAGGCTGTAGAGAGCCCATAGGCTGAATTACCTTGTTGATAGCTCTCAGATCAGTAACCATCCTCCATTTCCCAGACTTCTTTTTTATAACAATTATAGGAGAATTCCATGGACTGGTAGATTCTTCAATATGTCCAGCATTTAGGTGCTCCTGACCAGCTTTTATAAAGTCTCTAGCTTCTCAGAGGTCGTAGGCCTTGACCTACCAAGACAGGTTCATCTGTTAGCCATTTTAAGGGTGAATACTTTTGGTTCCTCTGTAGGTGTGGCAATAGCATCCTGTTTCTGTACATCCTGTATGTTTGGCATCTGTTTAATGGAGTGCCTTACAATATATTTCTACCACTAAGAGCTTGTTTATGATTCATATCTGACACAGGAGAAATGTTAATCTGTGTATTCCATTGCTGTAATAGATCACGACCCCAGAGATTTATAGTGATGTCTGTGACATATGTCCTCAGTCTTCCTCTTTGTCCTTCCGGACCTAAACAGTCAACCCATCTCATTCTTTGTTTTACTTGAGATAGGGTTCCAATCCCTAAGTATTGAATGTTTACTTTTTATGGGCCATCTGAAAGGCCAAGACTTTTGATGGTGATGTCAAAGCCAATGTCTAAAATTCTGATAATCACCTTATTATTCACTTTAACTGATAACTTGAGTCTGTGATCCTATATAGAAGTTTTACAAAATATACGTTTCTTTTATTTCCTGAATTTACAAATGGTTCATCCTCAGTAGCTAATCTATCATCCAGAGCCATATTATTTACAATAGGCAGTGGATCTTCTAATTGTCCTGGGAGAGACTGTCCTCCACTGTGACTGGGAATAACCAGACCACTTTTGACATGGGGACCTTCGAGAGACCCCTTGAGCAGTTTCCTGATTGCAAAGGGTTACATTGCTAGTCTGTGTTCGATCAACATTCATTGGTCCAGTGTCAGCCTTTGCCACATCTTTTACATCATCCAGAAGGCTAAGGCCTTTTGTTCGAATCATTCCTAGGAGGAGGATTATTTCTAGGAAGGCATTGTCTACAATTCCTTCTTAGATGTCCTATTCTTCCACAGTTAAAGCATTTAGTATTTCAATGTCTTTTGAAACCTCTGGAGATTACCTCTCCTACCCAAGCTTCTATATCATCACAGTTAAGGCATTGGGCATCTTGGTGCCTTTTCAAACCTTAAGAAATTGTTTCTCATACCCAAGCTTCTGTTTGCTGAACTTTATATTCAAGGTTAGCTGTATAGAGAGCCCATTTTTCCAACGATGCCAATCTTCTTTTTAATGGCCAAAGTTGTTTGCATAGTGGATTTGCATTCTCATAAGCTAAAGATTCTATAAGTATTCACCTAGATTCTGAATCTGTTACCTTTACTTCTACTGCTCTGGACAATCTTTCCAAAAATTCAATGAACCTTTCTCTTGGACCCTGTACCACTTTGGTATAGGGTTCTATTGTCTGTCCTGTTTCATAAACCTTATCCAAAGAATTCAAATCTGCTATATGGCATAAAGACAATATGTGTTCACCATATGCAACTTGAGCCTGTTGATCAGCATAAGCACCCTCACCAAGAATATCATCTTGGGGTGCTTCATAGCGTTTCTTTAATCCTTGGATCTCTAGGGCTTTTGCCTCTTTCCTCCATAAAGCTCTCCATTGTATTTGACATAAATTTTTGAGCACCGCTGAGGCCAATTTGTTCCAATCCCTAGGGGTCACCCTATTTGTGGTTGCCCATGAGTTCAGGAGCTCCCTGACATAGTGAGAAAGAAGACCATGTGAGATAATGGCTTCTTTGATTTGTTTTAGGTACTTCATCAGTATCAGTTCCCATTGATAAGCAACAAAGCCATTTGAGTGTTTCTTCGTTGTTGGTTTTTCAGTCATGGATACTGAGAAGACCATAGGAGAGGGAATAACAACCTTAGGGATGTCTTCCAAGCATCTGAGAGGTATAGGTAAACCTCTGCCATGACCTGTTGCTTGTATGTATGATTCAGAAGTATCAGATTGGACGTATACTGAAACCTGCAATCTATTTATCTGAGCTCTTGAAGTTCTTGGGTCAAATAAATTTCCAAGGACTTTAAGGAGTCGTTCATTGTTTTGGATTCATTATTTATATGCGATTCCAAACATTTAATATTTTCATCCTTAGAAATTATATGAATGACATGTAAGTTGCCTTCCAAAAACAGTGTTCTATCTGTTAGTTTGTAATTACTCTCAGACATGGAGCAGGCTTTTTTGTTTAAGTATTTCAACATTATGTTCCAATTTTTCTATTCTGTCTGTTGAATCAGTACATATTGAACATATTTTTCCAGAAGGCAATTCAATTTTATGTTCCATATTTTTCAACCTGTTTGTCAGATCTTCATTATCATTTTGAATATACTGAATATATTTTTACCAAACCTTCCTTCCCATTCTCTAAAACATTTTCTATTGTCTGAATTCTTTGTACTAGGTATTTATACCCATCCTCTGATGACCGAATAATTTTGACATTTTTGCCCTATTCTTGAACCATATCTTTAATGAAATTGTATGCATTACCAAACTGATAACCATTACAGCAGATATAATGTATATACCAGATAGGGTCTCAACCTCTTCCATTACATACATACAAGAAACAAGAAAAGTCCTAACATCCTGCATTGTAATGTTATTTGCCATATGTAAAGAGCAGTTAATCTTATTACCAGTTTATATACTACCAGAATACAGCTTAGCTTCAACAATTCCAAACTGAAGTGTGCATTTTTATTTGCAGTAACTGCGTTTGGCCAGTAGGTGCCAGAGGTGTACCGCCAAACACTGTTCTGTTGTGGGTGCTAAGAGTTTTTCCAATGGAATCTGAAAAAGTTCTAAGTAGCTTTTAATTGAAATTTAGAGAGCAGGCTTTTGCTAATAGGAAGGGAAAAGAGCTTCATGTAGATTGCAGGGACCCGCTGGGAGGAAGGGGCCAAGTTCAGCAGGCTGCCAGTAAAGGAGAACTTGGCTACCAGAGAACTCTTGGGAGACTTCAGAACCTTACCTGCAAGCAAACCCAACAGCATCTGAGGTGCTTGTTCCAGCTGTGAGATGCAGCAGGGGAAGCATCAGGAATCTTGCCTTGCCAAGCTTTGAGAATGCACGAAGTGGTAGAGAATCGTCTGTTTGCTGGATACAGCTAAGCAATAGGACTACCTACTTGTATCCAGAGCTTGCAGGGCAGGCAATGTTTGGGCCGCAGAAGAGCAGCCGCTTCAATAGCACCTTCTTGATCCGGGTTCCAATAGCAGCTTCTGACAGCAAATTGTCTCCGTAAAATAAACCACATGTTTGCTGAGGGTACAGGTAACTACTTAATTTAGAAGGTACTTACAAGTGAAACTGGCAACCCAGGTGAGTCAGCAGCTTTCCGAGAAAAGAACGCAGTCCCAAAAGAGAGCAAGTGTCTATCATGCACAGACATTTATTTCCATATCCGTATGTGCCTCTAGCCACGCCCAAAATGGGCTTGGTCCTTGGCACAGGTACCTAAAATATCTCCCTACAGGCACTTATATACCTAAAAGAAACATCACTAGAACTCAAATAACACATTAAATCCACACACTTATAGTGGGAGGCTTCAACACCACACTCATTCATGTTGATACACTATTATTGTGCTGACAATATGAAGTGTAAAAGACAGGGCTCCTATCACCTTAAAAGTTTGCCAAGACAGTAAGGCCTCAACGGAAAAAGGTGTGATTCTGAGAAGTCCCTTGAATTCAAGGGCCGTTATCCCCGATTGGACACAAAGAGTGTCAATCACTATGTCTCGGCGAATGAGCTTACAGTTCTGGTGACGTGTGAGAGGGGCCATTATTACCCTTCAAGGCTCCGCCCCCTCATACCTGGTCCTCAGCCATCTTGTGGCCCACCTCAGTCCGTTGCTCCTCCTGGTGCTGTCTAGCCCTTCTTTACTCAGGTGCTCCACACGTACGAACTCCATAGGTTCAATAGTGGAAAACTTTCTCTACTGCTCTCAGTGCCTCCAAGGACGCACCTGCAGCCAACATCCTCACTCTTCTTCGTGGTAGTCGCCTTCACAACAACGCCTCAGCCCACCAACCCCTTCAAAAGCTCAGCGTTTCAATAAGATCTTCGCTGTCAGGTAGTTTCTATCATGTCAGCTGTTATAGAGCAGGAGCCTAGATCACCTGATCAACAGCAAGAAGGTGGCAGAATGGGGCACGATGCGAGACAAATTGTCTTACACGTGCTTCCAATCAAACATGCTAATGATGACATCGATGGAACCATAGCGTTTCTGGTTTCTCAAGCAGTCATGAGAGCAACGGTGGAGGAAGGGTGTGGGCAGGAGGAAATGTGGCCTGGAGTTGAGGACATGTGGCCTCAAGTAGAAGACATCTGGCGTGAGGAAGACTTCTGGCCTGATGCAGAGGAAGGTTGTGGGCAGGAGGAAATGTGGCCTGGAGTTGAGGAGGTGTGGCCTCAAGTGGAAGACATCTGGCATGAGGAAGATGTCTGGGCAAAGGCGGAGGAAGGGAGTGGGCAGGAGGAAATGTGGCCTGGTGTTGAGGAGGTGTGGCCTCAAATGGAAGATATCTGGTGTGAGGAAGAAGTCTGGCCTGATGTGTTGGAAGGGTGTTGGCAGGAGGAAATGTGGCCTGGTGTTGAGGAGATATGGCCTCAAATAGAAGACATCAGGTGTGAGGAAGACGTCTGGCCTGATGTGGAGGACATGTGGCCTGAAGACAAGGAGGTGTGGCCAGACGTGGAAGAGGACTGGTATGTCTGGAACAATGTCCAGGAGAATGAGGAAGCTGAGGAAGCAGAAGATGACCAGTACTACAATAATGAGGAAGATGAGGAGGAGGACGATGATGATAACTATCAACATGAAGAGAAGGAATATGTGCAGGAGGAGGAAGAGGACAACAAAGAGGACAAACAAGAAGAGGTTCAGGGGGAGGAGACCATCCTGCATGCCTGTGAGTTCACCTATTGTTTCTCTTAAATATACCACACCACTAAAGTGTGTATATGTGATATTAACAACTGCATTCTTCTTCACCCAAGGCAAGGCACAAAAAGTTCAGTCCCTGAACAATCACAGATTCAAGAGAGACAAAATATCCCCAAGAAGTCCAGACCTGGCAAAGGAAGCATAGAATTGGGAAGGTGAGTGTCTAATTGGAGGAGCTACTTCCAGGACCGCTATCTTTTGTAACATCCCCAAACAATCTCAAGGTCCATAACACAGCTCAGAAGAAGCTGAGGGTGACACATTCCAGTACAGTGAGTCCTTGACTAACACTTCCATACTTTATCAGGTGCTTACTATGCAACAAAGCAAACAAGGTCACCAAACATCAGTAAAGCTGTTTGCCATCCAGTATCTGTTGACATTGGTAGCTCACCTGCAGGTCATACACAAAAAACATGGGGTTCAAGTAGAAATGCACTTCTATAATTACCCTGCTATTGTGTTATTTGGGGGGAGTAACTTGCTCCTTTTTGCCAATCTGTTTAATAAGATTACCAATTCAGTATACAATCTTACATTAGCTGACTATTGTTTGTTAATGAATGTTTAGGAAGGAGCTTGGGAGGATGGAGACACCAGAGGCAAACAGCAAGCAAATCCTACATATTGTTTTTGAATGAAAGTTTTAAGAATGCTAAGATGATCTAGTGTAGGATGATCCAATACAATACTGAAGAGCTATGAGAATACTTGAAATTTGCAAAAATCAAATATGTAGAGGTTGGGGGAAATGAATGAGACAGATGCACTAGAGAGTTTGTCTTCAAACACAACAAATGCTTTTTCAATGAAGGTCTAAACATATTTAAATTCAACAAGATGGAAATGATTCTACTTCCTTCCAAAGGATCAGAAATAATCAGAAGGACAGGATGTTCATGCTGTTAGGAAAAGGGGCAAAGCACCCTAAAGAAATGTATGCAGCAGCAAAATGTGAAGTTCAGAAATGTATCTACCACTGGAACACTGCCAAGACTACTGGATTTTGGTTGCCTACTTCTTTAAATGGAAGGGCATGAAAATTTTAAAAATTAGGGTTTAGTAGAGGACACAATATTTTAACATAGAATAACTTCTTTGTATCTTTGCAAGGTCATGGTATAGCCAGAAAAAAACATGGCCTGCCTGGTATTAGGGAACCTTTCGGGGTCGGCTGAATGAAGGCATTACATGATACAAGTGTGCTGTTAAACAGTGCTTGTGTTTCAAGAAGAAAATATGCTCAATGGTTTTGCTAAGAAAACAGAAAGATATGATAGACTAGCTTAATATTAATGTTAATGTTTTCAATTGTTAATTGTCTCTTATTCTTCTACAGATTGAGGGCAAAGGAAGTTATGAAGAGGGAATCGATGAATCGTTTCTTCATGGATTTGAGATCTTCTAATATTTATTCACAGTTGCAATTTATCACCAGTGATACTGTTGTCAACATCTTCATCCAAAAGTATATACTGAAAACTTCCATTGCTTAATCATCCATTAAATTAAAATTGAAATGCATTTGAGATGTGTGAATTGTAGAGGGTTTTGTATCAATAATACTAACTCAAGTTGACTGATTTATATTTTTGTTGTAGCCTAACAATCCCAGAATCAGATCACTTTTAACTGTTTTAAGTTCTCTTACGATACTCTCAATGAATTCTATTAGTAATTTAAACCATTTATTGAAAAAAAACAGAGATGCATAAGACCTAACCAGGCTGCCTGAATGTGGGTGTCAGTTGTGGGGCCTTGACAGTCTATGGGGCCTCTGGCAGTGGAACCAGCATTTATCCAGGGTGCACAATGAACTTTTGAAGCCCATTCTCTATGGAGGGATACTCTTTTAGTCTAAATACATGGGGCAGGGCCTAGGTCCTGCCCCAAATGATGTGACACACTTTGACGATTCCCCATGGAAGGCCTCACCCTCCCTGAGGAGTGGATGAGGGGTGGGGATGGGTGTATGGTGGGGAGGATGGTAGGATGGGAGGGAGAAGGATCTCAGATTGGCATATAAAATAAGATTGTTTACAAATTGCAAAAAAAACACAGATGGAGTCCTAGCATAATCTGAATTGTATTCAAAGAAACTGACCAGTGACCCATTTTGTCTGGAAACAAGATGAGGCCCTTGAACACCCTTGAACACCTTGGGAAAACAAAAGGCACTGCAGCATATGGGCGTTTGTGAGCAAAGCCAACTCCTTGACTCCATTCAAGATGCACTGAATAGTATATTCTAAAATTGATGACGCAGAGCTTCTGAAGACCTTTAGTTTATTCTTAATGTCATCATAAGTTGAAAACTGCTAATTCAGAATAATGCTCCACTAATATTGGACCAGCATGATATTATTGAATTGACTCCCTTTAAAATAATTTGAATAAAACAATAAATACTGGATCCTGGATGAGGGATGGTACAGGGAGTTCCTACAATTCTCCGAGGAAAAAGACACAGAGAATGTCCTAAAAAGGCAAATATTGGGTGCTGTAGTGGAGAAAAGCATATAAGAAAAAAGGGAATTTATGAATACATTATAACACACATAAAGTTTTAAAACACATGTAAAACATCATTAACTGGAAGTATATAAACATATAGTAAAGTGAATATGTGTGATGCATGCTTATGTAGCATGCAAATCATCTTCTATGAGAATGAAAGTACCTATTAGAATTACTGGCTATATTTTTACGAAAAAGGGAGTATTTAAAGGGTAGGGGCACGTGATTGACTTTAACTGCATCATACTGTATCACTTAGGTTAGTTCAAGGGTGTATACATGTAAGTACTCACTACAACTTTGTATAGGTTAGCAATGTTTCTGGAAGGTAAGTGAAAAGCAGGAGGAATAAAAAAAAGGTTCAACAACTTGAATCTGTTTAAGGAAAAAAGATGGATGTGACTAGAGTAGAGAATCAGAGGAAAAGGGACAGGATTTGGGGGTGGAAATCTATGATCTACCAGTACATAAAGTTTCATAGGTACTCATTTGCCTTAATACCTCCCATTGTATTCTGTGGAACCCCATCTCATTTCAAAATTTATGAAGCATTATTCACATGTATACCATTGTCATTCTCTAGAGGTCAAGTTTCTAAATTATTAGGACCTTTTAAAAGTTTGATATAAGTATCTTTCTTAAAGTACCCATCGTTGTGTTTTCTACTTGGAAGATGTTTGATAAACATTTCTTTAAAAAATGCTTGCTTAATGCACACAGAATTCTATTTGGGTCACCAATGTTGACATTAAAAAACATATTATCAGTGATGGGATAATAAGGACCAAGACCGAAATAGACAGAATATATTCATTATAATGTTATATAATACAAAAGGGTAATTATAGTCTAAAATTATTTATTGCATATTTTTTAAAATCTAGAGGAGGAAGTTTTTAAGACTCCCAACACAGAAATTCAAATGTTTTATTATATAGTGTGACTAAGTTTGATTCTATCATGAAACATTGTATATAAATATATGTGGCATACTATCACACTATACTCCTTAAACCTGGTCTATAGAGCAAGTTCCTGGACAGGCTCCAAAGCAATACAGAGAAACCCTGTCTTGACAAACCAAAGACAAAACAAAAAACAAACAGAAAAGAAAATATACAACCAGATCCACCACCTATAGAAGCTTTCAAAGTGCTACACAGATGCTAATTTTCTCATCACTGCCAGTGCTATTGGATCTGCTAGGCCACAATGACCAAATAGCACAGAATTTTACATGATTATCTAGAACTATTATGAGGCATTTTCTTGTTCTGGGACATATCCAAAAGTGGAAGCTTTTCAGGTGACTAAAATAAATGGGTATGTTTTGTAATCCCAAATACATATATTATTCTTTCACAATAAAAAATAAGTCCACGAGACATCATGACCTGGTAGTGGGCAACAGATGCAACTTCAATTTCCACTTAGAAGAAATAATTTCAACATGATTTAGACCACTGATTACCTAGAAGATGTGCTAAAGACACAAGTCCCTAAATTTCTGTGGGACTCACATACTCTGTAGTGTAAACATGTCTTAACAACACTACATCCTGCTCATCAGCTCCAGTCCACAGCAACCAGTCACAAGTGATGCTGGCTAGAAGATCGAAGTCTGACTGACTGATGTGCCATGATTCTTCCAGAGGTTCTATCTGCATTGACTTGTATGGGATCGGGACATTAGTTTCTGCCCAATGTTATATTTTCCCAGTCGTAAACTGAGTTCCACAACAAACTCCTGGGCTTAATACCCTTCTCTCCTCCCAATGAATACAATCCACAGTATATACAGCAGAATAATATCCAGCTATATTAAAAAGAAAATGAAACCATAGCTTATACGGCAACATGGATGAGATTGGTAATCATTATGCTAAATTAAATAATCCAGGCACAGAAAGACACATACCACATGATCTCATTCACACGTGGATAAAAACATCAATTTCATAGACAATGAGAGCACAGTATTTGTAATCAAAGGCCTGGGAGAATGAGGAGTAGGATAGAAAGATGTTGAACAATGAGTATTATGATGTACTTAGACAGGGATAATGAATTTTGATATGATATTGCTCAGTCGAATGACTACAGATAATGATAATGTATTGTGTATTTCGAAAAAGAAGAGATTTGAATATTTTCACCATAAGAAATGATGCTTGAGAAGCTAGATGTGTTTACCCTAACATAAATATTGCATAATTTGTGCATGTACTGAAATACCACATGCCTGTCACAAACATATCTTGAGTGTGCAGTTTTGTATATTAGCTACAAAGTAAACTTTAAGTAAAAATACAAGGAAAAGGTGACAATCAAATATTGCAGAAAAAAGTTTACAAATGGTAAATAAGCATATAAGAAAAACAGGTCTCTATAAAATGCCTAAAATCATTAGTAATCAAGGAAGTGCGAATCAGAACCTGTATATTTAACATAAGAGATTCACACTATGTACCAACTACAGGTAAAGATGTGAATGACTGACTTAATGTACTTCTAATGAGAATTCAGTAGGCAATTACTGTAAAAAGAGTTTTTCTTTTTCCTATTCTTTTGTGGCGTTTTAGAGACAGGGTTTCTCTGTGTAGCCCTGGCTGTCCTGGAACTCACTCTGTAGACCAGGCTGGCCTCAAACTCACAGACATCATCCAGCTTCTGCCTCCCTAGTGCTGGTATTAAAGGTGTGCACCACCACTGCTCGGCAGAGTTTTACAATTTCTTAAAATGTTACATAAACGAACTATAGAAATGATCCCTGAATGCCGGGCGTTGGTGGAGCACGGCTATAATCCCAGCACTCGGGAGGCAGAGGCAGGTGTATCTCTGTGAGTTCGAGGCCAGCCTGGTCTACAAAGCGAGTTCCAGTACAGCTTCCAAGACAATACAGAGAAACCCTGTCTTGAAAACACCAAAAAAGTTACATAAACAACAACCAGATGATCCGTTCATTCTACTCCTAGATATTTGTCCAAAAGAAAGAAAAATTGTGCTCATACATCACAGGCCTACCTATGAATATATGCAACAGCTTTATTTGTGACTCCCAAACCTGTAATCAAAACTTAAATTTATGAAAAACTCTGGCATATTCATTTAATATAATATTTAATAGTAATAAAAAGAATGCACTATTGGTACATGTAATAATAGTAATAGATCTCAAAATAGCCATTATGAGTAAAGAATAGTGACAAAACTTGGTCACTGTACAAATGTTCTGGGTGAGGGGAGACATTTGTGGAGCAACAGAAAGCAAATGAATGATTGGAGATAAGAACTCGAGAAGGAAGTCTTATGAAAGAATATGGGAAAATTTGTTATCTTGGTTGTGGTAGTGATTTAAATAATTTTAAGTCAGAATTTATGGTGTTATAACTCTTAAGTATATGCTGCTTATTTATTATATGTCAATTGTTCTTCAAGAAAGCTAATTTTAAAAAGAAAGTAATGAAACACTGGGATTGTTTCTTAGTTTTACCCTGAATCTATAACAGGAATCCCCTAAGCTGGCAATTTCTAGATAATATAAATTTCTTTCTCACGATTCTGATCAAAGCATCAACAAGGGGTAGGGGTATAGCTCAGTTGGTACAGTACTTGTCTAGCATGCAGGAAGCCCTGGGTTTAAACCTCAACATCTCATAAAAACAGGTACATGGCTGTAATCCCGGTACTCAGGAGGTAGAGGCAGGAGATGACATGTTAAGCAAACTGGGCTACATTAAGACCTTATCTCCAGACAAAGGCTTTGCCAAGTATACTGGCTTTTGCCTTTAATCCCAGTATGTGGGAGGCAGGAGGATCTCTGTGAGCTTGAGACTAGCCTGGTCTCTATAATGATTTCCAAGACAGCCAGTAGTGTCTAGAGAGCGCTTGCATCTTCTCATTGCATTCTTATATGGAAAGAGGTGAATGCCGTGTATTGGTACAACAAAAAATTTGACGAGTAAAGTACCTCTGCGAAACCTATTTGGTTTTTTTCTTTTCTTTAT